TGGAGCGATTCTCTCCCTTTCCTGAGGGTGTGCAGGCACTCAGCACTGCAGGACTTCTTCCCGTCTCTCCCCTGTGGCTCCTGCTGGCTTTGGGGACACAGGCTTCCCCTGTGAATGGTGGCAGGACTTGAGCAGTGAATGATGGTCCTGCCAACACCAGCAGTGCTGTCTCCCGGTTCCCACAGGATACTCCCTCCCTGCCTGATTTGGAGAGACAGGCAGTAGGTGGAGAGAGGACACATGCTTGAAACAGCTGGCTTGTGCTGGGAGAGGTTTTCTGCAGTACAGGCTGCCAGTACCAGCCTCCCACGGCCCCCTCTGCCCTCTCAACGGGGCTCTGAAAGTCCTGCTGTAACAAATGGCTTCCGAACACTTGCTTGGCTCCATGTCCACCCCATTGAAGCCTGGCTTTTCCTTTCACAGCCACAGAGGCTGGCCCTGCTTTTGCGTCTGTAACCACCATGAATAGGAGCTGCTCCTCTCCATCCCCCTTGCCCCCTTCTGAAGGCAGCTTTAGAAATGCAGCCAGCTTTCACGGCAGGTTGGGAGGAAGGATCTTGCTCCCACATCTCATGTGGTCCCTCTAAGCTGCTGTGTGCTTGCTGGCGATGAGTCTCTGCTCTCCCCACTCAGTGCCCTGTGTCTGCATGTTGGGATGCTCCTCTTCCAAGCACGCACAGACTTCTGACACCCTTGCTCTTCCTGTCTTTCTCCATGGAAGCAGGCTGAGCCTGCAGCCTGTACCATATCTCCCATCCTTCCTCCGAACTGCAGCAGCTTTCACAGATGGGTCCCTTCTTTTGCTAACAGATGCCCCATTGTCTGTTGGACTCTTCAGAGCAGGAGCAGAAATGTAAAACTCATCCCAAGAGAAGTGCAGTCCTTTGATCGAGCGTGGCAGCTGGCATTCCCAGCGTAGCTACAGTCCTCAGGGAGGAAGACAGTGCTAGTGGTTACAAAATGGTTGGGATTCTTCTAGCCAGTGCCTTGCTCCTTGTCTCTGCCCTCTTTCCTGCCTGTAATTGCTGTTGTTTGCTCAGTGTTGGCTTTTGAATGTTCTGCTGTGTGGTTTTGTACAAGGTGGACCAGGGACTGTATTTGCTTTCACGCATCAGGAGAACTTGGCGTGCAGTGTGTGCCCAGAGGATTTCGGAAGTGGCTGTCTAAATAAAACGTGCTAATCCTCTGAGCTCTGAGAGGAAAACCAGCAGAGGCTTTGGGACCCACTCCTGGAGGCTGCTGGAAAAGCAAAGCAGCCTGCCAGGCTGGCAGCACTGCCCTCTCATGGCTTTCCCTCCTCTGTTCATATCGGATGCCCTTTGCACAGAAGGCAGATGCTGTTTTTCAGCAGATAAATAACCCCACCCCAGTGATGGGTAAAGATGCACCTCTTTTTTCATTGGTATTCTCTGTTGTGTTTTGCAGGGTTATGATGTTTGAAGGAAAAGCCCATGAAAGCAACCCAAAACCTTCTGGTCCGCCTCCAGAGAGAGACATAGCCAGCCTCCCTTGAAGAGGACAGGCTGAAAAATTGGCACTGTTTGCTTTGCTGCCTGTAACAGAGGTTACCTGTGCTTTGTTACTCTTTACTGTGGACAGTCCTAGTTTTCAACTAACCTGCCTTAGAGGAACAGAAAGGGAAGCTGGAGACCCTCCCAGCTCATGTCTTTCTGCTGCATCTCTTAGCCAACTCAGTTTGTTAGACAGAAGCTGTAGCACCAATTGTAATGTGAGACCCAAAAAAAAAATCCTGTGATCGTACCTTCCTCTGCCCTTCCTGCATTTCCCAATGTGTGGATTCAGAGCTGTGCTTGTCACAACAGGTTCCTAAAGGGCCTCGCTGCCAGACACTGAGCATTTCTCTGGCAAAGCCCCTGACAGCAGCCTTGTCTCCCCTGTCCTATGCTTCCTGACTCTGGACTAGTTCTTTCCCTCCTGATCTCAACAAAACACAAGTCAGGCTCCCAGCTCTGTGGCCTAGTCACATGCTAGGTGAACGTGGGAAGGGGTATGACACAGGTCTGCTTGCCTGCAGGGCCTTTAGGCTTGGAGGTGGGCACAGCTCACTGCAGGTACAGCTTTTGTCTGTCTGTGAGTTCATCCTGCAGTCTCATCTTGGTGGGTCCAACACCAGCGAGGTTGATTAAAGCTACCTTACAGGCCCCCTTCCTGACGAATCTCCACTTGGATCTGATCCGGAACATAACCTCTGAACAGGTGGTTGTCCGTCCTGTCTGCCCAGTGCAGAAACAAGCCTGCTGTAATGCTTTTGCAGCCCCTCAGGAAGGCCATGGGGAAATTAAGCCTTCAGGTGAAAGGAAGCTGGGTGACTAAACTGTGAACCCTGCCAGACCAGTTGCAGCTGAGGATCTGTCTTCACGCAGCTGCTCTGTCTCTCTGAATTTTGCAGACCTCCCTGTATGTGTTTCAGCTTGGTCCCCTGGAGCTATCGGGTCCATTTCCATGATGGATAAGGCCTCAAGCCTGCAAAATAAGAAGGGCTGTAAGTGTGGAGTATGAGCTAGGATCCAGATGTAGCTGGGACTGTGCTATCCACGCTCTGGTTACTGCAGTGATTCTTGCTCCATAATGCAATTTCTGGAATCCAGATGTTTGCTCTTTGCCCTTTCTCTACTCTTTTCTTAAATGTTCTTGGCAGCTTTTAACTTTTTTAAAATCATGGTTTAATAAATTTTTTTAAAGGAAATGCAGATGATTAACTCTACTAGGCTGATTGTTCCTGCCAAAGGCTGCACTTTTAAACAAAACAAAAATATTCTCACTACTGTTTGCATGAAAACCAAAACTGTAATGGAGAGAAAAAAATTCACAAGCAAAAGCAGCACCAGTCTTCTTTAAGGACTGGAAATAAATCTTCTGAAGCTACACTGTGTGTCATTGTATTTAGTTTAGCTCCTCTGAAGCTTGGTCCACATGATTGTGGATTAAGTGAGCTGGTTTCCAAGTCTGTTAATATAAACCCTTAAACAGATCCTAGAGATAGATCAGATCAAGAGTCCAAAGCTATCTGTAATAACTGACCAAATGCCATTAAGTTTGTTATAAAAGCTTTTTTTTTTTTTGACTTACTGAAACAAAGCAGGTGGCAGTGCTTGTTTTAAGGAATAACTTGTTTATCAAGAGCAGAAACTCTAGAAAGAGGGTTTTTTTTTGTTGTTGTTTTGTTTCATCCTCTCTGCTCTTGAAGCAATTGCCTGGGGTTCTTGTCTGATGTGAGTTATCAAAATGGTTTCCAAGGGGAATGACTGGGTACGCTTTTTCCATGTGTTCCTCAAAAGGACAGAATTGCCCTTAGATCAGAGCCCAGTGTCTGCTTTCTGCTGCCTGCTAGCCTCTGGGAATGCACCTGCTTTTCTGGGCTGTGGGTATTAAAGCTGTTGTTCAGTTAGAAAATAAAGGGAGTGTATTACACTAGGGAAATTTAGATGTGGTTTGCCACAGTTCAGGTCACTACCTAAATCCATCATTGCTTTTGTCTCTGAGGAAGTCCTTGTCCTTCTGGTACTGGAAAAGAGAGGTAGAGCCTGCTAGAGCTGGCTACAGCCCCTCTCAACATGTCCTTGTCCCCACAGAGCTAAGGTGATGCATGCCGTGCTGACGCTGTGAGTGGAGCTGAAGCCCTCACACTTGTGGCAGGAGGGGGCAAAGGAATGAAACCCAGGTCCTCCTGTGCCTGAAAAAAACGCGTGCTGCTTTTACAGCGCCCCGGAGCACAGGGAGACCATCACAGCTCACAGAACTTCCATGTTTCTAGCTCATCTGCACATAACCGGAGGTGTACAGGGACCAACCCCGAGCGACGTGCTCCCGCCGCAGCCCATCCTAAGGGAGCAGGATTTGCTTAGAGCTGCAGCAACACCAGACCTCTGCTGTGGAAAACGCCTCGAAGGCCCTTACCGAGGGTTGACGGACAGGGTGGAAGCTGCTGCCTGCCAGCCTCTGCCACTGCGCAGCCGGGAGAGCCAGCTCGCCAGCAGCCTGGCCCCCTCCCCGGCGGTGTCTGTCCCCTCAACACCCGGGTCTCCTCAGGGCGGAGAGGGGCGGGCGGGCGCGGCCTGCAGCACCCTCTGCGGCTGGGTCAGGCCCCACCTTAGAACGTAAAGCGCTTATTAAGCACAGCCGCTTGCTAGGCCTCGCCGTGCAGACAGGCTCTCCGCCGGGAGGGGCAGGCATTTATCCGCCCATCTTTTAGCCCCGCCGGGGGCCGAGCACGGCCGCTGCCGCCATAAGGCGGGACCCGCTGGAGGACTCAGGCCGCTGCGGACCATTGAGAGCCGTG